TTGAGCGAACTTTTGTAATGTAGGCCAGACTCCTCAATCAACAATTGGTATTAAAAAATTTTTTCTCATTGGTTTTCTCATCGATCAATCAAATATTGTTTTCAACAATCGTGCGTATGACCATTTTTGTTGTATGAGTCATTGTTTTACGTTCTTTCGTTCTTTCTGCCTTATAATTATTCATACTAACACATTCTTGTTTTAGATTAAGGTAGTTGTTACATTTGTTTGTCAAATGTAAAAGTACTTTGCTATTATACGTCTTATCTATTGGATTCATTAGAAGTTTAATTGTGAGTACTTTTTTGTTATCATATTTATTTTTTTTGACACACAGATAACAGTGACCAGTGTTTGTCTGAATACTAAAAGTTTAAAATTTTCGTTGTTTTTAGATCTTAAAGCCTTAATAATGACCACAGCTATTGAGGTAATAAATTGATTGATTTTCGAAATTGAAATAAATTTGTTTATTTGTAGTGTCGAGATTACCGTAATTTTGCTAATGATACATGCAATTTTATGCGTACTACACCTGATTGTAAATTAGACGGTGGCTTTATAAATTATCTCACATTTGTATTTTGTAATTTTGATGATAAATTAGTTGCTCTTGGTTTAACATTATTAGTAAATATTAAAAATATTTTTTTTTAATAATAATTCCATGTTATTTTAGGCTGGTTGGTTATTAGTTCTATTTATTGGTCTAGGTGTAACTGCTGATTCTTAGTAAATAAATTAATTAGAAAAAATAACCTACTAATCAAACAATTTCTTTTTTTAGTTTTTGTCCTGCTCTTCGTGTTATTGCTCGAGTCCTTAGATTATCAGAAAATATAGCGGTTAGTTTAGTTGTAATATGACAGACTTAATAAGAAATACATATATATTTTTTTTTTAGGGTGTAACATTTCTTGCATTTGGTAATGGTGCACCGGATATATTTTCTGCTATAGCTGCTGTTGGTAGTTCAAAAGGAGGTGATGTTGGTTTAGCATTTGGTGCACTATTTGGTATTTAAAGAAAAATCTTTTAAATAATTTCAAAAAATATGCATATATATTTTTTGTTCTTAAGGTGCTGGTGTATTTGTAACAACAGTTGTTGCTGGTACGATAGGTCTTGCAACACCATTTCGTTCAATACAACGACCATTATTACGTGATATAATATTTTTTATTATTGCTTCATTTGCTGCTTATGTAGCTATGTATGATGGAAAAATTTATTTGGCAGAAAGTTTAGGTTTTATAATAATGTATGCCGTATATTTAATTATACTAATTGGTGGATATTTTATTAATCGACAACTGAAAGATCGTCGAGCTTTATTACAAGCTGCACATACAGAAGCAGCAGCAAAAACTTATGGATCTATACAAACACCTTTGGATCAATCTGTTGTATCTGTTGATGATACAGATGGTGATATACCTGATGATAGTTATGCACAACCAGATGTTACATTTGCATTATCATTACGTCATGCTTTTTTACCACGAGATGATACACCATGGTCAGAAAGAAGTATAATAAATAAAACTTTTTCAATAATTAAAGTAAGATAGATATTGATTATATACATTTGTTTGATGTGATAGTCGTTGTCTTTTTTTTGTCTAATAGATGCCGGTTGTAATTATTCTTCATTTTACTGTTCCATTAGTTGATTATGATAAACGAGAACATAATTGGAATAAACTTTTAAATTCATTTCATCTACTTTCGGGCCCATTGACTGTGTCAATTCTAACACGAGGTTAATAAATTTTAATTAAGATACGTAGTTTTAAAAATTGATTTATTTTTATTTTTATAGTGGGTCTTATT